GCAATTTTCCCTACATTAAAATGATTGAATTGATGGTTCAGATGTTTGAACTGATAAAGTCAAAACCAATCAGTCATTTTGTTCATCACTAGTCTGCGTTTCAAAATATTTTTAACTGTTAAAGTTGTTCAAAATGTGGAATACATTAAAAAAAAAAATCCTCCCTGAATTTCTGGTAATATCATTTAGCGTCCCTATAGTTCTAAAAGTATCACTTACCTTCCCCCCGCAAGTGAAATGCAACAAAAATTCACGAATACAATAATCTTGTTTCATCTTCTCCACAAAACCGTCAATGGACTTTTTCTCAATTCCCTGTAGCATTAAATTAACTCCAGCAAGGACTAAAAATAGCCTCCATCTTGAGTTGTCATCTGGAAAATTGATGAAAGAGTTTTTGGCAACTTCAACATACAATAATAAAGCGAAAATAAATATAACATACAAGAATCTTGTTGTTTGGCCAATTGACGTATGCCACAAGTGAAAGAGCGGCAAGTTGACCGTAAAGAAGAGAGTACAAAATTATAAGTTTTAAAGTACTAAATACTAAAAATACAAAAAAAAAGTTTAGATATAGCAAAAGGCCCAACAACCTAAAAGAGGTCCAAATAAGCTTCTCTAGCTCTTTCGGTTGGGAGTTCTCAAAAATCTGTCTCTTAAATTGGGGCCTCCCGAATCTCTCTTGATATACTAACGGTCCAAGCTTGCTATTAGTCTCTTTTCACAAGAAAGTCCAACAAAGAGTTTGGCACGACCTTTTCTAACCTTTTCTATCTTATCAGGTCTTCCATTTGCAACGAGTTCTCTTTATTACACCCCATGACCAAATGGGTGAGAATCCTATGTTTGACAAATTTTTATCAGAAGTGGTCATGAAGTTAGCAACACCAGGATGATCTATACTTTTCTTTGTTCCTTTGATAAAGTAACATCCATTGTCTTGGTGGTAAGCGTAGATATCCTACATTTATATCAACAGGAAAAATATAAAACTAAAAAAAAAAAGAATTTAACCAAACCGATTGACTAATAATTTTTTATATATACATATAAATTGTTTGCTCTATATTTTCTTAGCTTTCTTGTGTTTATTAATACTATTCTCAGTTAGATGCTAGATGCTTATATAACCATTAAGCATACTCAGAGATGTGGCAAAAGAAAAACTTCTATCACGGTTGAAACTCCTTTAGATTTTCACTTAGAATGAGCCAAATTAAATGAACATCCCAACACAGCAAATTTGGCAATTGAAATACATATTTACTTCAATTTACTCATAAAACAAGTGACCAAATTGGTACACGCATGGCCACCAACAAAGCAGCTGTCTTTTCTTTATTTTTTTTCTTTGCAGAATCGAATTTTCTGTCTCCTTCTTTCCTATCTCTTTTTCTTTTCTTAGTATTAATAAGTGTGAAAAAATTTGAGAAAATCCTTTTATTTTATATTTTTGATCTCTTAAAGTGAATAATCATTCTAACTTTTTTATTTTTAATTATATTTGCAAAAGGATAAATATATTTAAATTTTTTTGACCATATAAGTTAGATTAATGATGAAGTAAAATGCCTAAAAAATAATGTTAGAAATTAAATCAATTATATCACTATAATTTACAGGTATAAAGTAATAATAACAATGTAGTAATACTATCTAATAAAAAGGTATTTTTGTCCAAAATTTCTTAACATGTTGAGTTAAATTACTTATGGGGGTGAAGTGACTAAAAGATAACGTTAAGGGGTAAACTGATAGTGATGATATAGTTTAAGGGGGTAAAGTGATAATAACCTTATATATATATATATATATATATATGATTGAAACTCATGAAAATTGTCAATCTTCTTTTTTTTTTTTTGGGCCTTGACGAAGTCCAATCTAGACTTTCTGTAACACTTCATCGTTGGGGTTGTCCATTGCATGGTTAGTAAATGCACATATTATATCCATAAAATATACGTTCCTACGTATCATTCAAAAAAAATCATATTTCATGTATTTTAAAAATATTCTAAAAAATACTCGTACTTTTCAATTAATCGCATAATAGTATGTAATAAACTTTTAACACTTTATACTTCACAAATTATAGTTCAATTTTTTAAAAAACTTGAGTAAGGATAATGACATACTTTTTGAGTTATATGCAAAATAAGAGCGATGTATATGATAACAACTATAGATTTATACATATTAAATAACAAAGTGATAAAATTTTAATAGATTTAACGTCTCATACATGAAAATAAGTCTAAAATTGGAATAAGCATAGCATAGCCTGCAAAAAATATAGTAATTTTATCCATACTTTTAGTTCCATAACTTTCAAAGACGTTCATAGTATTCAAGTACAAATTTATGTGCGTAACACGTATTTTCATGCAGAACTTTTAATCGTATTTTTAAAAAATTTCATATAATATGCATACATATAATGTCTTATATTATACCGATAACGTATTTTACAAACTATGGCCCAACGTAGACTTTGGGGCTGAAGTCGTCGTTCTTTGAACCAAAGTCATTCCGGTTATTTTGGTTTTTTTTTTAAACTAAAGTCGTTCCAGTTATTTTGGTTTTTATTTTGGTTATTTAGTTCTTCTACCTACATAGTAAAAGCGCGAATGGAATTGTTAAGAATGGTGGTTGTTGTGCTGATGTGGCTGTGTTTTATTGGTTGAAGGGTGGTCGTCATTCACGTGGGAGTCGCGTGCTTTCGGTGGGAGAATAAGTGTGTGATTTTTTGTTGTTGTTGTCCGAGAATGAGGACCTTTGGTTTTGATTGAATTTGTTTCCAACAAGCACCGTTTCTCTGGTCAGCAAATGACCAGCTGAGTAAGCTAATGACGGTTGGTGATGGTTTGATTGATGACAAATGTTGGGTGGCTCTAGGGGTGCAGAGAATTCGAGTAGCTTGAATCGAGATCGCGAGTAGCTTGGTTAGCTACTCGAATCGAGCTCGAGCAAATTCGAGCTCGAGTTGATTTCAAGCTACTTGCTACAGTAAAACGAGTCGAGTTCGAGTAATTCATGGCAAGAAATTTTAGCTCGTTGAGTAGCTCGAGCTTGGTGGCCTATTTGTATATTTTATATATCAATTTACTCTTTTAGGTTTGTTAGTTAGAATATTTACGGGCTTAACCAGTTATGTTGTAATAATAATGAAGGGTGAATAAGTAATTTTGGCTTGTAAACTAAAAACGATGAAATGCATTGCAAACTCTGTCCTTCATTCGCCTTCTTCGTTCCTCTTCAGTCTTCAGTTCACTCTTCAGAGTTCAGCCTTCACTCTCAAATCCCAATCTCAGTCTTTGGCTCATCTTCTCAAATCTCAACTGTCACAACCCATAAGGCAGTCGAGACAGCAGAAGTTTTAAAAACTTCCGCAGTTGAAGAAGGCTTGAAGCTACTCTTTCTTCTTCCTTCTCCGTAGCAGTAGGTCGCACCGTAGCAGTAGCAGCGTGAGCAGCCCACCAATTTCAACAGCTGCATTTGACAAATTGAGGTACTTATTGTGCATTTGTGTAGTAAATATGTGCATTATGTGGTTAAATTTTATAACTCTAATATTAATTTTTAATCTCCAAACCCTAACCAAAAAAATTGGGGGCTGCAGCCTGTGATTCAATATATTCCATTTGCGTATCCCATTCCCTCTCCATTGCTATACTGGACCTTTGAGGAAATAAAGGACAGCTCGATTCCTTCAACAAGTGATTCGGTAGTTGGTGCGACAGCTTCAAGAATTGGTAAGTTTCTTGACATTGGCTCTAAACATCGAAAGGAGGAAAAAAAAATTGTATTGGAACGAATTTCTGGGGTTATAACATGTTCTTGAATCTTGATTAAGAATTCCATCACTATTAACGTGGGCCAATTCGATTAGTATTTGACAGTCCCTTTTTTATTTTTATTTGTGTATGTGCAAACTCAATCATGTTTATACTTGAACTGCGCCATTTTCTCATTTTAAACTCATTTTTTGGTTTCATTGAACGTAAGCATCGTATCCAGTTTCTGTATTTTCCCTTTTCTTTTGCTGCTGCTGTTGCCATAATTCACTGAGTTCCTTGAATCTCATTTGATTGAGAAGTACCTAATTAGCAGTTAGTTCATGTGAAAAACTTAAGATATAATTTGCAGTACCACAATTCTATGAAGGCTTCTGCTCTCCTTGCCCATTCCTCTATGGGCTAAGATATAATTCACTGAATTTTCTATGAACTTTAGCCCTGATATGAATGTTTTTTGGGAGCTGTTTTCAACTTTTGGGTACTTGTGTCATTTTCAATTTCTTGTAATGTCTGTTTGGTTTGAATTTAATGTTCCGTGTGAAATATTTGAAGTGGAACTCATTTTATCATTAAAATGTTTGTTTTTCTATTAAAGGCATGTCTATTAGTCCTCCCGAGGTTTCTTCAATACCACATGTGTCTGGGGCTGATTCATCCACACCAGTCATGATTGACAGCCCAGTATTTCATCATCGTGATAGCTGTGATCCCACACAGGAGGATGGTGACACACAACAAGAGGGAACTGAAGACACCAATAGGCAGCAAGGAGACGCAACTGAAGATGATGGTAAATTCCGAGTACCTAAAAGGAATAAAACATCTGAGGCATGGGAAGATTTCGACGATTTGGAAGAAAATGGCATATATTATGCCATTTATAAACATTGTGGCAAGAAACTAAATCGGGGAAAAACTAAACAAACCAGCAGCATGTGGAGGCATCGAGAAAACTGTTCTGTTAGAAAAACCAAGCTTAGAAAGGCTGAGCAACAAACAAAGATAAACTTTCAGCTGGCAGATGAGCGTTTTTCAACTGTACCACCATTGCACACGGGCAAATTCGATATGGAAGCAATGAGAGAGGCTGCTGCACATTGGATCTTGATGCACGAGCATCCTTTCACAATTTTGGAGGAAGAGGGTTTCAACATAATGATGAAACGCGGCTGATCGGAGTGGCAGAAGATCTCACGCATGACAATAAAAAAGGATTGTACACAGGTGTACGAGATAGAGAAAAAGAAGTTGAAGAACTTGCTGAGGCATGTACAGAAAGTCAGCTTGACCACCGATATGTGGAAATCAAAGAATAAAAAATTTGAATACATGGTGGTGACGGGGCATTGGATTGATGGAAATTGGAAGCTTCAGAAGAGGGTGTTAAATTTTGTTCATATTCGACCACCACGTCGAGGAGTTGAGATTTCAGATGCAGTTTTCAAGTGTGCAAAGGAATGGGGAATTGAGGGAAAAATTCACACTATTTCCGTAGACAATGCCTCAAACAATGATGTGGCCGTGAGATTATTGAAAGATGATTTTGGCAGATGCAAGAAGCTATTAGGTGGGGGAAAGCTATTTCATGTTCGTTGTTGTGCCCATGTCTTGAACCTTATGGTTCAAGATGGCTTGAAGGAGATAGTGGATATTTGTGAAAATATCCGAGATAGTGTGGATTTTGTGAACAAGTCTGACGGTAGGGCATTACTATTTACAGAAATTGCTCAACACCTGCAAATTCCTGGAAAAAAATTGCTCAATGATTGTAGGACGAGATGGAATTCAACATATGAAATGTTGAGTTGTGCTATAAAATATAAGGAGGTTTTTCCTCGTTTTCAAGTTCGAGAGCCCTTTTATGAGTCTTGTCCATCTTCAGAGGATTGGGAGAAGGTTGAGAAAGTTTGCAGGATTTTAGAGAAATTCTACACAGCCACACACATAATTTCGGGGAGTGAGTATCCAACTGGCAACCTATTCCTCCCTGAGGTTCTAAAGGTGAAGAAACTCTTGGATGCACGAGTGGATGATGAAGATGACTTTGTTCGGAGTATGATCACAAGAATGACGCTCAAGTTTGACAAATACTGGAAAGAGTGCAATTTATTGATGTCCATTGCAACTATCTTGGATCCAAGACAAAATGCGAGCAATAGAATTCGCCTTCCCTAAGATGTATTCCACATATGAAGCTCAAGAAAATATCACCTATGTTCGAAAAGCCATCTTTGAGCTTTATGACGAGTATGTTGCTATGGGTACAAGTGGAAGTGCAGGAACGGATAGTTCATTAAATGCTACATCTGAAATAGTGTGTGCACCTCGAGCAAGTGCTGACTATTGGGATGATTTGGATGAGTGTTGTGGTGAACTTGAATCTGATGAACCCCACAAGAGCGAGTTGGTGGATTACCTAGACAAGCCTCGCCAGCCTACTGGACAAAATCCAAAGGATTTCAACTGTTTAGATTGGTGAAAAATCAACCGGTCAGCATACCCGATACTCTCGCAGCTAGCAACTGATGTATTGGCCATTCCTATCACTACCGTCGCATTTGAGGCCACATTTAGTGCTGGAACTAGGGTGATTGATTCTTATCGTGCTTCACTTGCTCTAGAGACAGTCCAAACATTAATGTGTGCGGGCGATTGGTGTAGAAATTTACACGGGGTCAAAAAGAAATTAAAAGTAAGTTATACCTATATAAATTTGTTATTGCAGAGATAAATTAGTATTTATTAGTTTGTTTGTTGATTTTAAAGTATTATGTTTATTTGCATTTCTACCACCTAAATGTAGCCACAGAAAGCTCTCAAAGAATTTGAGCTGCCCAATGTTTGAAGTTGCACAAGGAGCAAATAATTTGCTGGAAATCAGGTCCATCTTTTATGTGAATTTTGAGTTTCTTGTTCTTAATTTGCTTTAAGTTGTGTTCAAATTTTAGATTTAAATTGCATATAAATTGGTTGATTTGTCATTTGTGTATGGCTAGGTGTTGTAGACTGTACACCAAAGTTTGAAGATGCATAAGGAGCAAACAAGCTATTGGATTTACCAGACGTTAATGGCTGTACTTTTGTTTTTCCAGACGTTAATGGTTACATTCTTGTTTTCCCTAAATTTTTCCTTTCAATTGGCTTCACTCTTGTTTCTATTTTTGTAAAATTCTGTTGAGAAGACCTAAAAACTAGCTAGTTATTGGTTGGAATCTGTTGAGAAGGCCTAAACACTAGTTATCGCTGTATCGCATGCCTTTGTTTCTGGTTATTGATCATGGCCATGAGGTGCTTGTCCTTCAAAGTTCAAAGAAGCAATGGTATGTTAAGATGAAATTGAAGTTTAGGCGTTTGATTGATTTCTTCATCCACGGAATGGTTTTCTTGCTTTCTGATTCTTTGTCAGATATTATGATGTGGTATTTCTCGTTGGAAATTTGATACAACTGAGGCAGGATTTTAAGCTCCTGTCTTCGTGTTGGAGGGATTTTCATTGATAATTGATTGTTCTTTCTTGATTCTGTCTATCGGTTTTGACTGAATTTAGTTTTAAACTTTTATTCTAATGTGCAACTAGGTGGGTTGAAATTCTCTTTTTCTAGAGAAGATATTACCTGTATAATTTTCATGGAATTTTGTTTATTTATGAGGGTGGTATGCTTTCAGTTCAGACTCTATCATTCATGTTTATTGCACAAACCTTTGGGAGTTGCTTATCTTTTGGTTTTTATTGAATGAATATACATCTTCAGGTATATGATTTTGTCCATTCAGTGGCTTTCAGTTTTTATTTTTGGAAATCTGCATAGAAGTACATGTTTTCCAATGCATTCAAGAATTTGCTTATGTGACTGAGAGTCCTATGTAAAGGTTTTAATTGGTTCTTGGCTGAGGGACGGAAATGTGTTGCCTTTCCCAAATATTGTTCAATAAGACATAGTTATCCCAATGGCCATTTCTGTGATGCTTGACTGCATGAATTGCTTTTATGTTGGCATCTTAATATAAGTGGGCAAATGCACCCAAATTCAAGGTCCAAGACTTTAATTGGCTACTAAGTTTTCTTTCTTTGCATTGCAATTAATCTTGTTCAATTGATATTAATGTACTTTAATTCGATTGAGTGCATGCTCTTGCATGGACACAGGCATGTCTGAGGTTCTTAATCACACGTTTAGGACGTTTTGACTGATTGCTATGGCTGCTAGCTTTAGTTTTTGTTCTGATTCTGATAAGAGTTTGTTCTTGTTTTGCTTGTTGTTGTTGTTGCTTTGATCAGAAACAACAACAAGCATTTGTTGTTGCTGTTGTTGTTGCTTTAATCAGAAACAATAGCCAGCTACTGTTGCTGCTGCAATACTTGTAATGGTTTCTGAGCTCTTGAGTCTTGACTTAGAGGAAGCTGATGTTGTTGTTGTTGCTGTTCTTGTTCTGATTCTGCCCGAGAGTTTGTTCTTGTTCTGCTTGCTGTTGTTGTTGCTTTGATCAGAAACAATAGCAAGCATTTGTTGTTGCTGTTGTTGTTGCTTTGATCACAAATTGCATGCCTTTCAATAATTGCATGCTGTTGCTACTGATGATAATTGCATGCCTTTCGAAGGACTGCTGGTGGGATTCAGGAGGCCTATTTTTGGACTTGCATTGAGTTGTTTCTTTCATGAAAGGGGGCGAACAAACAGGCTGACAAATTACAGGATCATTGAGCTCGAGTACTCGAGCACAGTACTGTGCTCAAGCTCAATCGGATGCATGTCAAGTTTGAGTACTCGACTTGAGCTCGATATGCATTTGTGACGGCCCCACCTCTCCCTAGGTCACACCCCAGGGTTCGGCAGGTCGCCTGCCCAACTCTCGCTGGGACTCAGTCGTTCACTACAGTTCTCAATTAAAAATCGGAATAAATCACAGGAATAAATAGGGCAACGATCCAAAACTTAAAGCGAAACTTATATACATTTCTATCTCAAAAGAAAGTACAAACATCAAATGTACAAAGGTTCTCACTTTACCATACAACCAGCCCGTGCCAAGCACTAGGGCGAAAACCCTTACAAAAACAAAGAGCTAGACCAAACTAGTCTATACCAAGCTCTCATCCTGCTCGTCGTCCCCTGTTAAGGAAAACAAAACTAAAGGGGTGAGTTAAAAGCTCAGTAAGGTCCTGAACACATAATCAAACAATCAATTCAATACATTAAACATGAAGTATCAATAATTCAAGAAACATTTACAATGGAAAGCGATAGTAACACATTCATTAAAAGGATACGGGCTCACATAGAGCTATTCGTTCGTTCGTTCGTTCTCCTGATATTTTCCCTTATTCCTCCAATCGTTTGAAAATGTATTTTTGTAAATAAAATCCCTCGTTCGTTCTTTCGTTCGTTCATTCACCCCCTTCCTGGACAATAGTCAGGCTCCACCAACCTACAAGGTAATACTCGAGTATACCAAACGTTCACACCCAGGATCACCATATCGCCCGACCGAGTCCGCTTCTGGCTCGAGTCGATCGATAACGAAGGGCAGGGCCCAGTTCAGCCAAAAGGCTTACATCATGCGCAACTAACGTTTCCATCATTAAATCATTGAAAAGTTCATACGTATTTAGGTCGAGTGCGATAAAGCACACACTCGCCCAGAAAACTCGTTTTGAAAATCATTGAAAGCACTTAACACGTTATCAAACAATAACACAAGTCATGGAGTCAAGAATAATATAGCAAACAAGGAACACTCACCTATGTACGCAAAATAACGTCCAAAATTTCCTTCCGGATACACCCTCAATCACCAAGGTATCCTAATATAATCAAATGAACATATTATGCTTCAACCATCAAAGATTTAAGTGAGTCAAGTACAAGTCGAATACGTACTAGTACAAAGTATAAATATGATTTTGGTAGTGAAAAGAGTACATTGAAACCAAAGGACATGAGTAAAATATTTGTAAACTTAGACTCACTTGTAAAACTTTAAAATCGCTAGTTGAGTCAAAGTGGCAAAGAAAACATAAACAACCTAGATGGTTCGCGTGGTATTCGCTCTCAAGTCTTACTCAAGTCGCAAGTATATCAACCTAGTTCTCGAGCGTAAATTTGGGCAGCATGCCCTTTGTATTTACCTATTTTCTAGCCATTTATGGCTTCATTCTTCTCCTCAATAAATCCCAAAGTCATACACAAAATAATTTCTGTGGCGGCCCCACCTCCCCCTAAGGCGAACCAGAGGGTTCGGCGAGTCGCCTACCCAATTCTCGCCGGGACTCACTCACTCAATCATCTAACATCATCAAATATAATTCGTAAATAAACTTTACTTCTCGCATAAGCCAAGTACTTAAACAAACCGTTCCATTCAACTTTCTGTGTCCAAAAGTACAATTTCAAGCATCAAAGAAAATGTCGAACTTAAAATACTTAAATTCAACTTAATTTACAATTTAAAATTCCTAATTCAGGGTACAGAAGCACCACAGGATTCACATTTTTCCCAAAGACACAAAGTCATCCAAAAGATACTAAAGTTTTCCCAAAGTACAAATACAAAAGTGGGCATTCAAAATATAACATTTCTTTTCTAGTTCTCCAAGACTTCATGCAATTCAGAACCTGTCAAGGAAAACAAATTGGAAGGGATGAGCCAATAGCTCAGTGGTGCCTCGAAACATGCAATTCACATAGAGCAATTTAACAAGTACAAATGGACAAGTAAACAATTAACAATTTAGGAAAACGAAATAACATGACAAGAAAAGGATACGGGGCTCTCAGGAGCCAAAGTCCTCGCGTCTGATCAGGTAATTTATAGTAGTTGATACTCCGTCAACTTTCACTACCTAATCTCCATGTAGACATTTTCCCTAATCTACACGTCTCCTAGCAACGACTTCCCCCTTATTTTCGGGCCCAACTCCAACACGAATTTTGCAAGCACTTTTACAAAGACGGCAGAGAGGTACCTCCCACTCTAATAGAGCGTGGTACGTGCATCCGTTTGGTTTATTTAGTCGACGAGACCACGCTCCAATCGACATTGCAACACTTGTACTTGTGGCATTTCACGCAATCACATAGCATATAATATTTCATGATATCTCTAGCAAGTACTTTTAACAAGTAGTTCAACTAGCAGTTAAACACGATTCATGCAAGAGACACTCACCTCAAGTG